ATAACCTAATAAACATGGAGCTTACATATCTCTGTTTAACCCCTCTGTTTAAATGATAAACTTACCTTAGAATTTAGAAATTAACCTTTGAAAGACTTTGTAACCGTTTGCCCACATAAATAGAATTAGTTAAAGAATCTGTAGAAGCCTTCTGTAAAAGCCTTTTGAAAATCTGTTAACCTGAGAGGAACTACCTGTTGTTATGTAAATCTGTTACCCCTGACAATTGTTCACTATTTCCTATAAGTTACCATGTAAGACCTCATTCGGGGCTTTTTGAGACCAACGGAGAGGTCCGAGCCCCCTGAGCTCCCGCTTTGCCTATAATCTTTATAAACTTATAAAACTATATCTTTGTCTCAGTGTATTCTTTTACTTTTTCCATTTTCCATTTCTCTCTATTATTTTCTCATCCCTTGCAACTCTACCAAAGGGACCCGGTTTTTTGCAGGGAACACTGGCCATGTTCCCCGCAGATGTATCTAGAGTGAGTGGTGGGAGTGGGGGTTTTGGGAAATGACTCAGTGATCCAAATTATGACTGGGCAATTTGGCCTCCCCTTGGCCTCTCCCAGATCTGGTACTCCCACCATTCATTCTAAACATACCTCCAACCTAAGCTCCGGAACCCACTCATTGGACTTAATCATTTCGGTTGTGAGAGTGTCATTCCAAACTGTCCTTCACTCACCCAAAGTTGGCAGCCAGAATTAAATGCTCCACAAGGGAGCTTAACGGTGAAGGGGGTGGGGAGGTATTTTTTTTCCCCCTCTGGAGAAGACAATGATTTCCTCTGCATGTTGCTGAACCCTGAACACTTCCCCGCCCCGCCCAACTTCTGCACAGACGCTGAGGTCTGAGGTTTTTGTAAACCCCTTCCTATTGTTTATCTCACTGGGCGCGTTCTGCCAAAGCACAGAAATACGTCGCGGTGTGCTCCAGCCGTGCGTCTGAGATCTTGAGACTGAAGGATTTGGTTGCTTTCCAGAAGTCCACAGAGAAGCGATTCCTTCTTGCAGCCTGTTGATTATTAGATCCTTGGCTAATAATGAGAATCATGTGCCCACTGGGAGTCTGTTTGTACCAGTACAAATAATAATAATACCTACTAGTGGCATACGTGCAGTGCAAAGTCACCGCTTCTCCCTGCCACACAGATTTCTTTGGTTGAGACTGAGTGACTGTCTGGGCCACACTGGATCCTGTGGGAAAGAGGAGAGAAAGGGCTTCACCGGGGTATCATGTCGGAGAGAGGAACAGACACTTAAGAGCTGGTTCCCATCCCCACCCACCCTTCTCCTTCTTGCTCCAAACTTCAGGCAAAATCCATCAGCTTTCTGACCCACAGTATGTGGGCTCAATGAGGAGATTAGATCCCTGGGCTATTTTTAATCTTTCTTCCTACTTTCCAGTCCTGTTGGATAGTAGTCGAAGCAAATACAAGTGCCTTCCTTACCAAGACAGGTGGAGACCACGAGTGCCCACACTAAGCCAGGGCGTGTCATACTGGCAGCTCCCTCTCGCAGGCTGAGACATCCCCTGTTCTGATCTGAACCTTCTTATCTGCTGTACACAGGACGTCGCTGCTTCAGAACAGGAAATAGGGCGGCAAGTGGGCTGTTGATGACGTCTCCCTCAGGAAAGCTCATCGGTGCTTTTTGTCTTTTGCTTCAAAGAATAAACCTGTGGATATATAATGTCAAATAAAAAAGATGCCAGAATTGTTAACTTATTCTGAGGTAAAAATGAAGAGGGGAAGGAGCTGGTAAATTGTTTTCGTAAAGACATAATTTGGAGAGGAGAATGAGATGAGTGGAGGATAGGAGGCAAAGTTAATTTGACTTCAATTTTCTCTGTAAGCGTCTCTCTCTCCCCCTCCCTCCCTCCCTCTTCTTTCCTTTGCTTCCTTCCTTCTTTTCTCCCTCCCTCCCTCCCTTTCTTTCCCTCTATCTTTCCTTTACTTTTCCCCTCCCTCCCTCTCTTCCATCCTTTCCTCCTTCCTTTTCTCTCTCCCTTCTCCTTCTTCAAGCCAATATAAAAAAATCGTCTCTAGGTTGGTACAAAATAGGTATTGGTTATATTATTCTTTGATCAAATTGTATCATTTTGAGAAATGATTAAAATAATGACAATAATATCAACAACACTCAGACAGTCTGGAGAAAATTGAAACCAGGATTTTGATATCTAATTGCCCTGTAATTTGCTGAAGACTTTCTTTAAAAAAAAAAAAAAATACCCGATTTTGGTTGTGTCAGGGAGCTCTACAATACTGGTGGCAAGTGTTCCTGCAAGGACTTTTGTGCCCTTCTATTAATGACATTGTGAAGGAAGAATCAGAACAATTAACATAAAATTCATTTGGGAACATTCTGTGTTGTACAGCTGGCAGCTTTTCAATGGCATCTTATTTTTCCTCATGCACACACTCTTCTATGAGAGAGGAAAGGTCAGGAATTACAGTCTTCATTTTATAGAAGAGGTGGCAGAACAAAAATGAAAACTCACAATGCAGGCAACCGCTAGTCTCATTTGCATTAATTTTCTCTCCCTATTGAATTTGCATCATCCAATCTTAGATAAGGCCATCTCTATGGTCCAGCTTTATGTAAACTTTTTACCCCTGTAAAACAAGAAAGAGAATAAAAAACTAAATTAAAAGCTGACTTGCCATGTAGGGAGTTGTGGCCTTAATGCTCCCTTCCTATTTATTATTTCCATTTGGGAAGAGTGGTTAACTGAGCATTTTGCCACAGCTGTTCTTAACTCCAGAGGACTTCTTAAAGTACAGCTTGCTGACTTGCTGTGGGTGGCATTTTTTTTTCTCTTGTTTGCTCAGTGTTAAACTTCTCTCTTTTCTGGGCAAAGTCACAGGACATTGGTAAATAGTATTACTTTACGACTTCCCCCTTCTCTCCAGTCTCTATAGGACACTCTAGATGATTGGGCTGTCTTCTCTCCCAGTCTCAGTCCAGTTGAAGCTGTGAGTTCATTAATGAGACCCTCAGGAGTAAATGTTTTCTTCTCTAATGGTGCCCGTCATGCTGATTAGGAATCCCAAGCCAGAGGGTCTATCTTGCCATCTTAGATCCTTTTCTGTTCCTTGGGCCTAGGCAATTAGAACTTTAGTGTCTTACATTCATCATCCAATCAGTTCCCAACTTCCACATATCATCAAGTTAATAAACCCTAAAGATCAAATAAAATAATGTATATGAAAGAACTTTTAATTGAGCAAATATGGGGGTGAGGATGGGCAGACAGTTGTCTCTTCTGGAAGCAGAACCCCTCCTAGGCAGTCTGAGAAGTTCCAATGTACTCCCTCGGGATGTCAAGCCTATCCGGAATCACTGTTGCAGGACTTCTCACTGGAGTTAGCTAGTTAGACTATACACAGTAAAAACTAGGAGAAAAATACATGAGTCTCATACATCTACCCCCATGTTCTCGTGGGAGAACTTTTCCAGATGCAGAAACCAAGGCGCAGCAGCAATCAATGGCCCAAGCGGGAGAAGCTGCTCCAATCACGGAGCCATTCCGTCGCAGCGGGTGGACCTTCACTAAAGAGCACAAGGGTCCCCAGTCTTGATCACCCCAGGCAGCGCCTGGTTAGTGTTCTCTTCACTCTCAACTCCTTATCTGAAAACACACTGAACAAAAAACTTTTAAAAAGTTTTTTTAAAAAGGTTTTCTCTGATTTGTTATAGTCATTTACCATTTTCTTTTGTCAGAGGAAATGATGGAGATTGCTTACTAACCTCCGAGTGGGGGTCCCAGTGCAGGGTGTGGGGCCCAGTGCATTTAGGTGCTCTCTGGGGCACATAGGTTCCCTGTGGCACAGAGGTAGGTGGCTGAGTCCCTTGGCTGGTGGCCTTTTTGTGCAGGGAGTGGTGGAGCTGGCTCTAGTACCAAAGGAGGCTGTTGGCCTTCCCTGTGCTACAAAGCCTGAGTTAATCGGAACAGAAACAAAGGCACTAGATTTATTCTATCCAGTTCCTTTTCATCCTGTACCTGCGGATGAAAGACTATTCAAATAATTATATTAGATGATAAAATTCTTTTCTTCGTGGATGGTGTGATGGTTAATTTTAAGTATCAACATGACTTGGTTAAGGAATATCTAGAGGACTGGTAAAACATTATTTTGGGGTGTGTCTGTGAGCGTGTGTCTGGAAGAGATTGGCATGCGAGTCTGGGTGGAATGAGTGGGAAAGATCGGTCCTCAATGTGCCCATGCAATTGCCTGGGTGCCTGGGTAGAAGAAGACAGAGGAAAGGCGAATTTGTTTTTCTCTCTCTTGGAGCTGGAATACACTCTTCTTCGCCTGCTCTTAGACATCAGAACTCCAGGCTTTCTGACCTCTGAACCCTGGGACTTATGCCAGCAGCCCCCTGGCTTCTGGGGCCTTTGAATTTGGATTGAGTCACGCAACTGGCCTTCCAGGGTCTCCAGCTTGCAGACAGTCTGTCATGGGACTTGGTCTCCATAATTGTGTGAACCAGTTCCCCTAATAAATCCCCTTTCATATGTCTATATGTACATCCTATTTGTTCTGTCTCTCTGGACTTCCTAACTGATGTTAGAAAGGACTTTTTTTCTTTCTTTATTCGATAGCTAGTTTTCTTAAAAAGACAATATTAAAGTGTGCATTTAAAATTTTATTTTTTTCTTTGAATCCCTTCTGTTAAAAATAGAGACCAATTCTCAGAAGCTTCTGGGTCCTCTAGGTTCCTGATCACATAAATTCCTTCAGCTGAAGCCACCAGATCATAAATGTGGCTCCTAAAAGCTCTTCCATGTCTTGGCTTTCTAAACTGATGGAGGATTTGATTCCAAAATGTGGAAATCTGACCTAGACTCTACAGACAAAGGAAGGTTTGTTCCAGTTCTTTTGTTTCTATTAGGAACTTAGCAGATTCTTCAACATGAGATGGACTTTTGCAGATAACTTCTGCAGTGCCCTCTTCAGGTCAAAGAGATAATTACTGAGGCAATTTCTACGATTTCTTTGTCTATATGGAAAAGAACTCAGTTTAGAAATCTGTTCTGGAAGTAATCTGTGTTAGGGGATGAAGTTCATACATGGGTGAGAAAGAATTCTCAGACAGTGATTAGGATATACAGAATTACATGTTTTATTTCCCTTGAGAAAGAGAGAGAAAGAGAGAGAGAGAGAGAGAGGAAAAAAACAAAAGTCAGAGAGAGTGGCCATGACACACAGAGGGAGGAAGGAAATGTTGGATGGTGAGGAAAGTTGCTTGGTGTTTTCAAAGGGTAAAAATGGCTCCCCCCTCCAAGCTTCAGCAGACTGATTACAAAAGTGACTATAAGATGTCAGGGAGTTCTTTATTTCTTTTTCTGTGAGGTAGGGTTATCTGAGTCCTTTTATTTTGGCAGGAGCTGAGGCAGAGAGCTGGAGCAGGAAGTTCGCACCCCTACTGTCTGCTTAGGGCTCATAAAGGCTGAGAAAGAACTCAGGGATAACAAGGTAGGCCACACACGTTTTAATTAAACAAAGTGTAGTTATGAGTTTATTTCTCTTACTTTCCATTTAATAGTTTATTTTCCTCTGTTAGATTATTAGTAAGATCACCTTTCAATCTGTTTATATGAGTTTCAGATTTATATTTATAGTAAGTCAAAAGGCCTTGATATTTAAAATGTAGTTGTTCTCCCCTTTATCACTGCTTTACCTTTTCAAAGAAACCTCTTTATTTTCCTTGATATTATTTCAGGAATATAGGATGATTATAATATAAATTTTAAGCATAATCTTAGGGCTTTGTCAGCACTTATTATGTGCCTAATGTTCCAAGAGCAGTGATGAGTGCTGAAGGGGACAGGCAAACTCTATCCACACAGTAACTGTAATGTATCTGGGGAGGAAAGGTGAGTACCTTGACACAATAGCAAAATGACACAACTCAAGAAGGTGTGTCACTGAGAGTCGGATTGTGTGGTTCAGATTCAGTTAGTGTATGACATCGGAGGAGAAGGAATTGAAAGATTTTTTGACTATTAAAGAAGATCCTTGGCCGGGCGCAGTGGCTCACGCCTGTAATCCTAGCACTCTGGGAGGCCGAGGCAGGTGGATTGCTCAAGGTCAGGAATTCGAGACCAGCCCGAGCAAGAGCGAGATCCCGTCTCTACTAAAAAATAGAAAGAAATGATCTGGACAACTAAAAATATATATACAGAAAAAATTAGCCAGGCATGGTGGCACATGCCTGTTAGTCCCAGCTACTCGGGAGGCTGAGGCAGAAGGATCGCTTGAGCCCAGGAGTTTGAGGTTGCTGTGAGCTAGGCTGACGCCACGGCACTCACTCTAGCCAAGGCAAAAAAGCGAGACTCTGTCTCAAAAAAAAAAAAAAAAAGAAGATCCTTGGAGGGAAAGGAGCTTTCCAGTGGATATTATGGGATTAACATGGTATAAACAGTCTGAAATATACATAAAAGGTAAATTTGGGTCGGTGGAACAAACAGAAAAGAAATGCTAGAGCCAGCAATGAGCTTGAGGTGCCTATGGGTCAGTGAGGAAAATAAACTACCTGGAAGAGAGGCATATTTTGGGAAGAACTAGTAATGAAGTTTAGACAGTAAGGGTGAGCAGATTTGGGGAAGGGGGAAATGAGAGATGGTTAAAAGGATTTAGACTTGGTAAGTAAAGTGTTTGAGCAGTGAAAAGACGTGATCACGTATCTGCAGAGACTGAAGTTTAGCAAATGTGATTCACCTCATCATCTTTTGAAAAAATAAGATGACATCTTCTTTTTTCCATTAGTCACTCAAGTACTCACTTGCCCTTATTAGCAATCAGCCCAGTAAGGTTCACCTGAATTCTCCTCTGTTCTTTCTCTATTAAATTTTCAAAGAATCTCTGAATTAGTTTGGATTTCTCCCCAAAATAAAGCCTGCAGCAAGGACTCGGGTGACAGTAGTTTATTTAGGAAGCAGGATTGAGGAAATAGGTAGACCAATACTGGGGCTTGATGCTGCCGGACTCTCCCAAGAAGCACACAGGATGCCTCTCAGAAATGTCTACTTGCAGAACCCAAAGCTAGTGCATTTATCCCTGGCTCTCTTTCCCCACTGGTTGGTGCTTGCCAGCGGGGGTAAGACCTACAGTGTGAGGTTCCCCTACAGTGTAAGACCTACACTTGCAGGCTGGGCTTGCCCAAGGACTGAGGGAGCTCCTGAGGGATCAGAGAAAGCCCTGGGGTAAGAAGTAAAAGAACATACACAGCGTGTGCTTAATGTCGGGTGTTATCAGCTTGAGGTGAGTGTGAGATCCCCCAGAATTGTCTACCACAACTATGGCTAAAATCAGAGATAGGCACTTAGCTGGACCACGGGCACATGTGATATCAGTTATGGTCCTCTCTTTGCACTACTCAGATGTGTGCTTGTCATGTATTATTGCCACGGTGTCCCTGAATCTTCAGGGCTGTGGCTGGCTGCGGGCTCTTTAAAACACTTAATATGGGAAGGTTGCATGACATTCAGATCTTCAGGCCTTCATTGCTGAAGATTTCAGGTCTCATTTCTTGTCACTTTGCCTTTTTCAGGTCTTGTGGCTACAACTGCCACTTGCTGTTTCTATTGGGCCCCCAAACACCAGGAGACACCAAAGTGAAACGCTTAAGTTCCACACACATTCCTCCTCACCCTCATGTGTCATAACAACCCAGTGCTTCATGATAATGAGGGTCAGTTACCCTCCCATCCTAATTACTCTCTCTTGCCTGCTGGACCATTCACACAGGAGTTCAAAGTGACCTCGGTGGCAGTCACACCTGCAAGTTACCGAATGCCCTGGTGGAGGCATCCTTCCTTTGGGAGCTAAGACCTCTAATCCAGCAGGGCCTGTGGGAAAGGGAAACATAAATTCTGAAAATGAGTTATAGGGAGTGATATGAGAAGACTGGATTTTGCTTCCATTTCTTGGTTTCTAAACTCCTGTTACAGCACCATATATTAGCCAGTGGTTTAATAAATATTATCGCTTCCTGAAGGATAGCATTCCAACCACTGAGGGTGCAGCCCCCGAGCCGGCTGCTCAGCAGAGCCTTTCTCAGGCTGTGCCATCATTCTCCTAGGCCTCAGACCTGGCGCCATGGGCCTAGGTCATCTCTGAAGTCCGTGGTGGGCCCGGTCAATCCCCTCTCTTGTTATGGCCCAGTGTTAAACCTGTTGTGTTCTAAATGGGTACCTTGTTCTGAGGAGATGCAGTTTTGGACTAGATGGACAATTAAAAGAACAGGGAACAATTAACAAAATGGAAAAGGTTCAGATTCCTGGAGGTAAGAGCTCCCAGGCAAATTACAAAGATTCTCTGGACAGACACAATGCTTAGGACGTGTGATCCATTACTGTACCATATGAAGCTCTCAGGGCCAAATGCAACAGTACCCATGAAGGCACACAATAAAAAGCACTGCATATGTCATTATCTTTGCTGTTATTTTAAGGAGTGAAGCTTGCAGACATCCATCTCTCTGTATTTCTTATAGTCAGATAGGAGGAGCTTTTATTCCCAAGAGACGTCAATGATTTTTCTATACCTGTTACACCAGCCACTCCCCGCCCCCGACCTTTGCACAGACACTGAGGTCTGAGGTTTCTGTAAGCCTCTCCTTGTCGCTTGTCTCACTGTGTGAACCATGAAAGCACAGAAATACATCGCAGCATCCTCCAGCTGTGAGTCTGAGATCTCGAGACTGAAGGATTTGGCTGCTTTCTGGAAGTTCACTGAGAAGCGATTCTCTGTTGCATTTTGTTGCTTATAAGCTTCTTGGCGAATAATGAGAATCATCTGCCTGCTGGGAGGCTGCTTGTACCAGAACAAATAATAATTACTGTCGCTAGTGGCATATGTGCAGTCCAGGGTCACCGTCCCTGCTTCCTGCACAGACATCTCTGGTTGAGATTGAGTGACTGTCTGGGCCACACTGGATCCTGTGGGAAAGAGGAGAGAAAGGGCTTCACTGGGGTATCATGTCAGAGAGAGGAGCAGACAGACTCATAAGCTGGTTCCCATCCCCACCCACCTTTCTTTTTGATTCAAGCCTCAGGCAGCATATGTCTGCTTTCTCTCTCCAGGTAGATGGGATCTAAGAGACAATGCTGTTCTTTTCTATTAATGTTTCCTCTTCCTTCATAGCCCCATTAGATGCCATTATAAATAAAGACCTACACCTTCCTTACCAAGACAGGTGGAGACCACGACTGCCCACAGCCAGCTAGCAAGTGTCATGCTGACAGCGTTCACCTGCAGGGTGAAAAGTCTCCTGCTCTGATCTGGGTTCTCTTCTGCGCTTGGTGACAAGTCTCCTTCAAAGCAGGAAATGCTATGACACGTGGGACGATTATGTCTCAGCAAGGAAAGTTTTTCTAACACCTTTTGGTCTCTCTTTCAGAAAATAGGCCTTTGGTTATAATTTCAAATGAGAGTGAAAAATGTTTTCTGAATTCTTTCGGTCTAGGAAGAAGATAAAGAGGAAATGGAAATGGTAAATTATTTTATTTATTTATTTAATTTGTTTTATTTCAGCATATTATGGGGGTACAAATGTTTAGGTTATGTACATTGTCTTTGCCCCACCCAAGCCAGAGCTTCAAGCGTGTCCATCCCCCAGATGGTGAGCACCGTACCTATTAGGTATGAATATACACATATCCTCCTCCCTCCTCCCATCTGCCTGACAGCCAATGAATGTTATTTGGTAAATTATTCTTGATAAAACCTAATCTTGGAGAGGAGAGTGGAATAGTGGGAGGAAGCGGTGGATTCCACTCACAACAATGGCAAACTCTGTGATTTTCCTTTCCTTCTTCTTCTTCCTCCTCCTCCTCCTCCTCCTCTTCTTCTTTTAAATAAAAATGACAAAGCAAATCTTATAAAATATGAACATTTAATTATCAGTGATAAGAATATACCTGTTATACTAATATATTCAATTTTTTATATTTTTATAATTTCTCCAGATATACAAAGAATGAGAAAAAATACATAAGCTTGTGACTGACAGACCACTGACTAAATTCAGAGCTAAGTAAAAGCAGAACATGTAGTGTCTAATTGTGCTTATAATTTCCATGGATTAAAAGAAAGCCATGTTTATGCTACATCAGGGAGCTCTGACATGACTATTACAGAAGTTCTCATCGGCACTAAATTGATTCAAAAAATTTAGTTTATATTTATATTAAGAGTTGCTCTGATCATTCTCATTCCATTTTGAAGAAATGTTGTGAATAAAAAACTTTTTAAAAACTTTACTCTGATTCATTAGAATTTTGCATTTCCAGAGGGAGTGACAGGGATCCTTACGTAATTCCAGAACTGGAGTTTCCAAGCTGGGAGTATGAATGAGGGCCCAGTTTCCTATCAAGTGCTGACAGAGGAGTAAGGGTTCTCTGTGCCAGAGGCAGGTGGCTGAGTGTCCCCACTCAGAGAGGAGTCGTGAGCATGGGGTCCAGCCCTGACTGAAGCCGCTAAAATCCCTTATGCTGCAAAACTCAGTTTGACGGCCATGGAGGAAGGAGCACCAGAGTTTCTTCTAGATCATCTCCACCCTTGTCTCATGATTTGAATTCCTGAATCTCGGTTTTGGATCCCTGAGAGTCAGCTCCAAAGGAAGGATTTGCATGTCTGTAGTTTATTGCCAGTGATTCTAGGAAACATTGGTAGGAAGCGAATCAGGGAAGGAAGGAAGCCAATGCAGGGCGTGCCATCAAGACAGCTGCCACAAAAGCCAAGTGGAACTTAATGCAGCTGGGTAACTTGGGAAACAGGATAGCATACCCTTTGGAGTTATCCCAAACGAGGCATGAAGAAGCTGGAGTCGTCATTTATAACCTCATTGTCCATCGCTGATGAAGGACTGATTTGGGGGCACTAACTCTTGGGCATTTCTGGCTTGTGCTGAACACACTGCTCCCATGGCCAGAAAGCAGTCTTCAGAGTTGCTGGGATTTTCGGAGAGCAATGTTCAGTGGGTTGAGGTGACTGCCAAGGGGATATGGGTGGGGCCCCAACAGCATCTGTATGGTTCATTCCTTGCTCTGCTGAGACCCACTTGTGCTCTGTTAAATTCACTCAGATACCTAGTTCTTTAAAAAAAAAAAAGACAATAGGAGGGTTAGTGGGACAAGTTACATTTGCTGAAGTTGATTCCATGTCTGTAATTCATATTTATTATCTTCTTCCAAATACCTTCTATACCACTCATTCTTGATTCTCTTCACCTTTGACTAACAGTTCTATTGGTCTAGATTTCTTTCCCAGGGAGGTAACCTAGACAAGACCTTCATCCCTGAGGCGTCTAAGCCCCTGGCTATTCTGCTCTAGTCAGGCCACAGATGCTACAATTGCCGGCTTACAGTAATCGCTGGCATAAAAGTGCTGAAAGTCATCCCAGTGAATCCTCTGAGTTTTAGACATATTTTCCCAGCCCCCACTAGGTAGTAACAACCCTATAGTTTTGTGATAATCAGGACCAATTATCCTGCCAGTGTAGTAACTCCTTTCTTGACCTTATGGTCTACTAACATGAGGATCCCCAAATTACCAGGCAGTGTGTGTAACTTTAGGTTTGATAAAAACCTTTCTGTTTCCCTAGTAGAAGTATCCTCCTCCCCTTTCCCCTCAAAGGGAAACAAGACCTCTAGTTCAGCAGAACCCACAGTTGTGAGAACAGGAAACATAGAAGTGGGTCATTGAAAGTGGGAGTTGATGGGGAGATAGTCCTCCTTCCATCCCTTGGTGCCCAGGTCTATGTATTTTATACAACAGGGGCACAGTGTTACCTTGAAGAACAGCTTTTCAACCCCTCAGAGAGCTATAGCTAATCTGGTGCTGTAGTTGAGCCCTTAAGTGGTCACTCCAGAGTTCTATCAGGCTGGTAGTTTGTGGCTAATGTTATATGTTGCAGGGTCAGTAGACCCAATGGACACACGCCCATTGTCACACCCCTTGCTGTAAAGTGGGTTCTTTGATGCAAAGGGATGTGAGATCCCTTGACGATCATAATAATGAGATGCTCTGAGCCCTCAGTTAGCGCCTATGTGCAACACTGTGGAGGGGGAGACAAACTCATACCCAGAATATGCATTAATAATAAAAGTTTCTGATACTTCCAGGCTGGAAGTGGTTCAATGTTATCAACTTGCCAACAAGTGGGTGGTTGGTCTGCTTGAGGGATGATTCCGTGTTGGAGGTTCATGGGCTATTGCTAACAGGGTGGATGTTTGGCAGCACAAGTAGCTAAATCTGTCTCAGTGAGAGAAAATTCATGCTTCTGGGCTTATGGGGAACCTCAATTCTGTCACCGTGGCTAATCTATTCATGGATATGTTGTTCAAGTACTGAAGTGGACAAGGACAGAGATCCTCTGGCTGGCCAACATGCTCTGGATGGATCATCTTGTCCACACGGTCACTCAGTGCTTCCTCGGTAGTGGGTGCTCTCTTGAGGGTATTGACGTGAGACACAATGATCAAAGCAGTTTGTGCCTGCACTCACTGCTCCTTCAGTCTATGGTCATCCCTAAATGTGACTCACTCTCCTCCTACCCCATCTTCTCAGGGTTCTGACCCTAGAAAAGAGCATTTTTCAAAAAGACTCATGGTTTATAACTTCGGGCCATACTGCTGGACTTTTCCTCTCACCAGCTGGTTGAACTTTCATCCCTTTTAAGGAGGAACTAGTGTTTCCATTATATTGTGTTCTCATTTTCCCACTTCCTTTATGAGCTTTGTACTATTTTCCCTCAGATTTTGGTGCTTGATCTTCTAAGTCAGTCTTTTGGGAATGTCAAAATATATTTTTTTTAAATACTGAATTTGATGGTCATGGTTTTCAAGATTTTGTATTTTCTGTGTCTTTGTAAAAGTCTATAAAGGAGCTCAAAGGCAAGACTTTTACTCTGTTCTTTCTTTGTTCTTTAGTGTTCTCTCTTTTTTGATATCAAGCCTTAAGTTTTGGACCAGCTTTAACAGAGGAAGGGCTTCACACTGGGAAACAAAATACATTAGATAGTATTTGAAAGCATCATCCCTGTGCACATGGTCTTCAAAAGCAACGTTGACATTATGATACAGAAAAGCCCCTCATATTGCTTTTTGTTCACAGCAAAGTTACAGTAAGTGTCCCAGGGCCCGTATAAAAGGAGGCGTGCTTGGGCCTCTCTGCAAGTTTTGGGTACAGGTGCAGGTGCTTGGGGAGCACTGTGTACTCGCTGCACAGAAGAACACGGTTGAGTCATGGAGCTGGGAGTCCCGTATATGCAGGGAAAAGTGTTGATCTCCTTTGTTAAACCTGGCTGTGAATCTTCCGCTGATCTTCTCCTTCACATTTGATCGCATTTGTATCAGGGAGATGAGGCTTTCCTCAGGATCCTGCCTAAACCACTGGAAGAAATCTGAAGCGCTGTCTCTGTAACTGCAGTTTAGTGTGAAGCTGTCACCTTCCTTGACTTTCAGGGAAGGAGGACTCTGTTCCACTTGTGGTTGTTCATTTGACCCTGCTCCGGAGGAATGAAAGATTTTCATACATAAACTGTTTTGTTTTGTTTTAGAATTTTCCTTATTTGTTTTACATTCCTTGGAGACCCCAGATTGTCCCTGGGATCCCTTTAGATTTCAATGCCAGGGCTGCCCCCACTTTCTGTTGTTGCCTGTGCCTTTCCTCCCCTCTCCCCCTCTTCCCCCACCCTACTCACAGCTCAGCTGCACACACAGGAGCACCAGAGAAGCACTCAGGGCAGTGTCCATTCTTCCTTCTTCCTGGAGCCTCTGCGGATTCAGTTTGGAGGCCCGGAATTGACCATGCTCGATGGGCCTAGTTCACTGTCCTGGATTCTTTTGGTTCTTTTGGTTTGGAAGCCCTAGGGGATCTTCATTCTGTTTTCGCAGCCAATCAAAAATGTCATTGTCACATTAAACACATAATTGAATGTCCTCCCTTCCTCCCAGGTCTCCATTCACCTCGTTCTAGTTTCCTGCAGTGCTTTGTCAATGGAAGCACTGCCCCCGTGTGGTCTGAGCTTTTTTATTAATTTTTTTTATTCCCCTCTTATTGCAAAGTAACTTATTATGTTAAATTAAAGGTAAATAGGACATACCTAGAGGCAAAAAGCAAACAAAAAGGAAAGAAAAGAAGCATAGTGTTAAAAGTTCTGTTCTCCGGTGATGACTGTCTGAATATCCTCAACACTTGACACTCCCTCCCTCACTCTCCTCAGCTTCGATGGAAATCTGTGCAGGTTCTTCGCCTGTACGACACTGTAAGCACATTCTGAGGGCTATAAAT